TAAACAAACACTTTGGCTGCTTCTGTTTGTAAACAAACACTTCGGCTGTTTCTGTTTGTAAACAAACACTTCGGCTGTCCTCAAGGCCTGAATCTAAGAGAAAAAGCAGCCGAAGTCTAAAGAAAAACTCAGTAAGACCAGAGGGTCTGAAGAACTGAGGACCGGATCAGAGGTTCTGTAGAACTCTGATGACAAACAGGAAAGGTTCTACTGACCAGGTTCTGCTGGACGAGTCGGGCTCTGCTCTCAGATCTGTGCAGCTTTGTTCTGAGCTTCTGCATGTCATCCTGGGTCAGCGGGTCCTGGGTCAGCAGGTCCTGCAGCCTGGACTTGTGGTTCTGCTGCAGTGCTCGGTTGCTGGTTCTGGTCCTGTAGAGCAGCAGGTCTTCAGAACTGATGTGACCGAGGACAAACTCAGCAGTAAAACCGTCCGGAGGCAGAACGGGTCAGAAACGGGTCCATTAAAGCACCGACACCCGGAGTTAACCGTTTTCTGAATCAGTCGGTGAACCACGGCTCTGGTAGTTTAACGGTAACCTCTTCAGTCCTGGGTTTGCTCGGTTCTGGTACCTGATGGGTTTGCTCGGTTCTGGTACCTGTTTCTGTCCTCCAGCTCCTCTGGGTCCCCCTGGAGGTCTGATAAGGCAGCTGTAAACTGGTCCAGCTGGGTCCTGGTCTGGTCAAACTGGGCCTGAGGTCTCTGCAGCCTCACTTGCCATGTCAGCTTTGCCCTCAGGTGCAGAAGCTCCGCCTCCAGCTCCACCTGTCTGTCTCTCAGAGACTGAGCCTCCAACCACAGCTCAGACAGCTCCACCTGCTGGAGACATGAGGGAACAGCCACGATGCGTTCAATGCCGTCATGTTCATGGTGCGTTTAGTGCTCTGAGCTGCGTCAGGTTGGTCGAGGTCTGGAGGACATGTAGTCTGACCTGTGTGTGAGTCGGTGCCGTGTCCTCCAGCGTCCTGCAGTGTCTCTGGGCGTCCTCCAGGAGACGCTGCAGTCTACGGTTCTCAGCCTGTAAGAAGTCGACCTGCTGCTGGGAGCGAAGAGCCTAAAACAGGAAGTGTCAGGTCGTATTTCACTTGAACGCCTCATCAGTTCACCCTCACATGCAGATTTTGGTTGGTCTTAAAATGGACTTGTGATTTTTAAAAGAAGATTTTTTTTGTCTTGTTGGGTTTGTGTGGAGAAGTTCTGGTCAGTCAGTATCTTACCTGCAGCAGACAGCAGTCACAGTGACTGACCTGGACCCAGACACCCATTAGAATAAGCTGAACTATCTCTTTAATTATTACCAGCAGATGATCAAACATCTGAGATGTTCCTGGATACCACTGATGGCTCAGACTAACTCCTGGGTGTCTCAGACTCAAATTAGGTTTTCTGCACCTGTGCACAGTCTGATCCCAGTGGAGTACCATTCGTTCAACCTTTATTTCTACAGGTTAGTCCCATTGAGCCTCAGGGACTCATTTACCAGAGAGACCTGGTTTAAACAGAGAACGATGACAACAGTGGACAATCTTAAAAGAAAGAAGATAAATTGAGAAGAACGAGTGAAAGAAAATGGGACTAACAAAAAGAAGTAAAAAAACAGCTAGATTATAAAGCGATGTAGAAAATTAAAACAGGAACATGTCTGTGTTGGTTCTTCCAGGAACTTATCAGATGTTTGAAGCCACTTAGAGAGGTCAAAGGTCGAGATCTTTTTGCAAGAAGGTCCTTTAGTCTAGTTCAGTCCTCACTGAGGGAACACTGCAGGTAATGATGTCCTGAGAGCGCACGCTGTAGCTGCACTCACACAGAGACATGTAGGAGGAGATGTATGAAGGCAGCAGACCAGGAAGTGATTTAAAGATGAAGATGTACCAGTGATTCTTCTAGTTGTTTGTTTGCCACAGTGTGACAAACAAACAACTAGAATCAACAAAATGTTTGTTGAGACAGTTCAGGATCTCGTGCTGATTTGACACAGGAACAGAGTTAATGAGAAGTTGTGATGGGAGGTCAGATGATTGGGGGGTGCCTGAGAGAGATTTGATGGTTTTCCAGAATCTGTTGGGGTCATTTAGATTTTTGGAGGTCTGAGATAAGAAATAGTTGCGTTTTGCTGCTTTGACAGCAGTTGTGCATTTATTCTGTTGTTGGAATAACAAGAAGTCGGTGTCTGAACCAGATTTTCTGGCTGCAGCCCAAAGCTGATCTTTCTGTGCAGGAGGTCAGCTAGACCAGGAGTAAACCAGGGGCTGTCTCGTCCTTTTATTCTGAACTGGTGGAAAGGGGCATGTTTATTTACAAAGTAGCTGAAACTGTTCTGAAACAGCCATCAGGTACTAATGATCCATTGTTAGGCTGATGGTCCTTCTTGAGCATGTGAGCAGCTGGTTTTGGTTGTCAGCAGCAAACTGGTTGATCCACTCTGAGAAGGTGCTATTTAAGAGACTGAGCTGAATACAGCACCTCAGACTGAGGAAGTCCTCAGGATGAGAGACGAAACGTTTCTACATTTATTTTGCTTTGTTTTTTTGTTTTTGTTTTCTTGTTTTTTGAATGTCCAGAGGACCAGATTGAACTTTTCTGGATGTTCTGAAAGTAATTCCAAGCGATGTTCACGTCATCAGTTAATCGAATATGATGCCAGTAAAGATGGGACAAGTCCCAAAGGAAGGCCTGTTCACTAAAACGTTTCAAATCCCATTTCTGAATTAATCTGGGATTAGAGCGACGCAGTTTAGTATCTCTGATAATTCCAATAACGCAATGATCGCTATAGCAGACCTGCAGTCTGAGTCCTCTCAGGTACTCCTGAAGTCCACGGATCACTTCCTGTAGGTCCCTCTGAAGAGCCTCATTGGCCAGGATCTGACCTGCGGGACAAACACCTGATGAGTCTAACAGCCAATCAGAGAGACCGCAGTCACAGAGGTGCTCTCTGATTGGTCAGGTTTCTCCTCACCGTCCGTCAACTGCTGCTCCAGCTCTCTGATCTCCTGCGTCTCCATGGCAATGCGTGACAGCAGGTCATCGAGGCGACCCTCCATCATGCTCAGCAGCTGGTTGGCTGCGTGGTCCCACGGGCCTGAGAGGCAGCCAATCAGAACACAGCTTTCATTCTGTCAGCACTGAAGACTTCCTTTTTAAAGGTGCTGTTCCATCTGATGATGTCATCTCAGACTCATGACGTCATCACCATGTGGTTAAAGCAGCTGATGGTGTGTGCATGAATTAGAGGCAATATCTAACATCAACAAAACCACCAGCTGAAAAATGTTGTTCGAAGCTAAAATGGTCAAAAATGCAGCAAAAAGATGTCAAAACAAAAACCGGAGCTTAAAGCTCGTTGTATAAAACCGGAAGCTCACAACTAAAATTAACTGAACTGTAGCTAAAAGCTAAAATGAGCATGACTTTAACAGAACCGTCCAGGGACAACAGCCTGGCTGTGAAAGACTTTAGCAACACTGAAAGTTTTTATCAAGATGTTTTTAAAAGAAGTAACTTTTTACGATGCTGAGGGTGAGGGGGGTCTGTGCTGGAGATCTGGACTCACTGAGACCTCCACAGGAGCCCCAACAGGACTGGACTGCAGCTCAGAGTCAGACTGACACATTAATGATGGATTTCAAAACAGGACCGAGTCCAGGACGAGACTCGGGTCCTGAACCTTCATCTTGGTCCATCTTCAAGCCTGGACCGGGACGAGCTGACCCGGACCCGGACCTGTCTGGTGTAAACAGGAAGTCCTGTCTTTTCTGTGGCGTCCAGCTGGGAGCTGCAGTGCATCATGGGAAGCTGCTCTCAGCGGGATGGGCGTTGTTGTTTGGTTATTTTGTACTCACAGCTACGGTGCAGCTCAGTCCTCCTCCTCTTCAGGAGAGTTCAGGAAGCTGATGGGTAAAATTCTCCTCCTCCTCCATCTTCATCACCTCCGTTACAAACTTCTCTCCGTCTCGCTGCTGTTCTTTGAATCGACACAGGAAATCTTTCTCTCAGCCAATCAGATGGCCGGCTTCTTGATGACGACACAGCGCTGACCAATGGAAGCAGAGTACTGCCTAGCGTCACAGACAGGGGGCGGAGTCAGAGCTTCTTAAAGAGACAAAGTATTTTCTGCTCTAACCAGATTAAAACCAAATTGAAAACTAAACTTAAAATCTAAATAGGAAAGAAAATTTGAGACTACGTTTACATTTGTGTCAGAGTGCCTTGTTTTTAACCTCCGATGTTTATTTTATTTATGATATTTCTGGACTACAGGGACTCTGATAATTTTTTATACAACTTCTGTTCCAGGGGGATCCCCTCCAGATCCGACATGGGATCTCCTCCAAGCTGCTCAAGTCCAGACAACTTCCAGTTCAGATATTTCATGAGTCTGACCAGAACCATCCTGCGGATCAGAACCTCACACCGACTCAGAGGAGAGTTCATCATCACCCGCTGCCTCGCACATCAAGTTTAAAAACTAAAATGTCAGATGAGCAGTTTCAGCTCTGTGGTTTTCAACAGAAACTCTGTGCATGTCTTCTGTTTGGTCTTCAAAATGTGGAACGTTTGTTGTGAATGTTTCGCTCAGGCCTCCCAGCAGTGATGAAGACAAGGGTTGGAGCGCTGTGTCCTGCTCGGCCTTCTCCGAACCCTTTCAGCAACTCGTATGGCTCCATTATCGCTCACGAACAAAACATTTATGAAAAGTTGTGTTAAACAACAACCCCAGCCCAGTTTCTGTTGGTTTATTGGATTTTTATTGTCAAATATCGTTCATTTACATTTAAACTAATAAAACAGACTGATCTTCCATCATTCAGGTGCAGCCAAACAGCTGCAGGTCCAGAGCAAAGTTTGTCAGCTGGGAGATGTAGTCCTGACACTCCGGAGAACTACACTCGGTCTGCAGGAGCTCCACCAGAGTCTCGGAGTCCAGAGGAACACGATACCTGCAGACAGCAAACGCAGCACGGCAGGTGAGCGTCAGAACAAACCGCACGAAGAAGAACAGGTGATGAGAGAAGCACTGACTTCAGGAGGTTGTTGTGGTTGACCTCTGACCCCCGGGAACCCATCACCAGGTACTGTTTGTTGTTCTGGAGGTCCACCCCGCTGCAGGTGGCCTTCTTTACCAGGTCCACCTCAGTGCCTGAACTCACTGCTTCAAACTCTGCAGAAACAACGAGAAGTGATAAATCCACCATCAGAGATCGTTACGGTCTGAAGAAGAAAAACAACAAAACACTTTACAGTCTGAATGTTAGGAAGGATAAATAAAACGATGATCACGTCAGCACAAAAAAAAACAGCACAAACTCAACATGACTAATCTCAAAATATTAAAATTATAAAAACCGTTTGTGATAGGTTCCTACAAATAAAACTTTTATATATTTAATAACAAAAAAGTGTTTAATTAAAATTTACAAGAAGTTACATTTCAATTTTTTTGTTTTGTTTCTTTTTTTTTCCAAGTAGGCAGCACGGTGGTGCAGTTGGTAGAGCTGCTGCTTCTCAGCGAGCAGATTATTCTGGTTCAAATCCCGATCCAGGGTCTTACTGGGTGGAGTTTGCATGTTCTCTCCGTGCTGCGTGGGTTTTCTCCAGGTACTCCGGTTTCCTCCCACAGACCAAAAACATGCATGTTAGGCTGATTGGTAACTCTAAATTGTCCCTAGGTGTCTCTGTGATGGACTGGAGACCTGTCCAGGGTGTTCCCCACCTCTCGCACAGTGACTGCTGGATATGGACACCAGTGATCCCTGTGACCCAAAATGTAAGAAACGATATATATATATATATATATATATAATTATTATGAAATTAATATTATTATATATAAACTTCTCCTCTTCCACTATAACCCTCAGCACTGGCTCTCCTCAGGGATGTGTGTTGAGCCCCCTCCTGTTCACTCTGCTCGCGTATGATTGTGCAGCTACCCATCCAGGCTGTCACATTGTAAAGGTTACAGATGATACAGCAGTGGTGGGATGCATCACAAACAATGATGAGTCCAGCTACAGGCAAGAGGTGGAACACCTGGAGAGCTGGTGCAGAGAGAATAACCTTCACATCAATGTGAAGAAGATGAAGGAGATGGTTGTGGACTTCAGAAGGAACAAACACACCTACACCCCCCTGAACATAAGAGGATCTGTGGTGGAAGTGGTCTCCAGCTACAAGTACTTGGGTGTGCACCTGAACAACAATCTCAGCTGGAGCAACAACACCACCAGCCTGATGAAGAAAGCTCATCAGAGACTCTACTTCCTCAGACGGCTGAGGCGAGCTGGTCTGGAAGCTCAGTCCTCACCTCCTTCTACAGGTGTGCAGTGGAGAGCATCCTGTGCTCCAGCATCAATGTGTGGCATGGAGGCTGCACAGCTGCAGAAAGAAAAGCTCTGCAGAGAGTGGTGAAGGCTGCACAGAAGATGTTGGAGTCAGTCTCCCCACCATCACAGACATCTACACCTCCAGATGCAGGAAGAGGACCACCTGCATCATGAAGGACCACACTCACCCAGCACACACTTTTTGACCCACTCCCCTCAGGAAGGAGGTTGAGGAGCATTAAGTGTAGAATCACTAGACTGAGGAACAGCTTCTACCCTGAGGCTGTTAGACTCATGAATCTCTAACCAGGATAATCACTGTGAAAAATCATATCATGTTGCTGCTGATCTGTTTCAATGTTGCTGCTGATCTGTTTTATGTTGCTGCTGATTCGTTTCATGTTGCTGCTGATCTGTTTCATGTTGCTGCTGATCTGTTTCATGTTGCTGCTGATCTGTTTCATGTTGCTGCTGATCCGTTTCATGTTGCTGCTGATCCGTTTCATGTTGCTGCTGATCTGTTTTATGTTGCTGCTGATTCGTTTCATGTTGCTGCTGATCTGTTTCATGTTGCTACTGATCTGTTTCATGTTGCTGCTGATTCGTTTCATGTTGCTGCTGATCTGTTTCATGTTGATGTGTTCATGCTTGCTCATCTGCTGCTGTTCGACATAATGTTTTATGTGCTTAGTTGATGTTCTATGTCATATAGGCTTCGCCCTTTAAGGCTGTCGCTGATGGGTTTATCCCGTTATGCGTTGCATAAGCACTGAAAAAATTAGTCCACGCCCACCTGCTGTGTGGGCCCCACCCGGTCCGTATAAATTACGTTAAGAGCGGGAAATCGGCTCCCATTTTTTCTTCAGCGAGCTAAAATAGCACTGTCAGAAGAACAAGAAGGAAAATTGTGTAGATGACCAACCTTTGTTAAGAATGCTTGGCCCGGCAGTCGACCTCCGGTCGTCCAGTGAGTTCTCCTCCCCGAGGAGAAGCTGACGAGCAGTCTTATTCCAAGGTAAGCGCCGAGGAATATTTTCCAGTGACAGGTCACTACACGCTGGACAACGCCATCTTGTATTTTTCCTCGTATCGCCGACCCTCGGAGCGAATCGGATGGTTCCTCCAGGGACAGGCGTGCTCAGCTGCAGCCCCCGCTGCTCATTCCCTCCTGGGGAGCGTAGTGTCGGTGGAGGGGGGCTGAGTGAATGCTCACCCCATCCCACCTCGTTTTTCGCATCGGCGATCACACCGCTCCCGGCCGACGGCGTCCCCCAGGGTTTGCCCGGCGTAACCCAGGAGGAGGCTGACATGAAAGGACCCCTTTTTACGTCCTACGCCTTTTCCCGCCAGTTCGGATGATCCGGCGGGAAGGTTGTTTACTGACTCCATTCCGGCTCACCGTCTTGATCCATATGGCCTCGTGTTCCCAACAGGACGTCCTACGGCGAGGCCACAGACGGGTTTTTTCCTGGTAGATTGGGGGAGCCGGTCTCCACAGTCCGCACCCATCTCCAGAGCAGGGTTCACTGAGCGGAAAGTCCCTCCGTGCCCTCTGGAGCCGAGCCTGATGGAGGCTCCATGGGAGTAAGATGTTCGAGGTGGACCAGCGTCCCGTGCCTCCCATTAGCATAACCGAGACGGTGACATCGCTCTCCAACTGAGCTCACCAGCATGTGTTCCACGGCCGCAGCGAACAACACGTTACGCTGTTGGCGTACACGTTCAGAGGCGAGAAGAGACGGTGGCCCTCTGTCCTTCGGCTCACTCCGCTCTCGTAGCAGCTGCTTGCTAACGACGCTGCCGGCCCCTGCAGTACGCTCAGCCTACAGGGCAGCTGACGTCATCATCAACCGGTGCGCCTCTTTGCGGTCTGCCGCCCCACATCGCAGCCGGAGAACGAGGTCCAGAGGTTTTTTTCCTGGCTCGCCACTCCACCTTCCTCTCAGGAGAGACGCAGGAGTTTTGCTGGTGATCCTCCTTTCATCAGCGAGAGATCATTTCAAGCTGCTCCACGGCTGCTCTACGCCTCCCCAGCTCTGCTACGCCAGCCCCTCCCGTCAGACGTCCCCGGCATCCGGAATTTCATTTTTTTTCCCGGACTTCGCCAACAGGGGGCCCTCCAGGACAACAAACAGAGCTCAACGAAGGTAAACAGGTGTCGTTTTTTTGCTGGAGGTGTGTTGATGACACTGTGAATAACATCATTTTATGATGAAGTGTCCTTTAGCCAGACTGTCAGCATGGTTATCTGACAAGCGGCCCCATCACCCACACTCATCACGAATGAGCCTTTTTAAGGTTGTTTTTCATTCACTGTCAGCGGTGCCGATGCGCGCCCCCGCGGCATGAAGGCGCGCACGCAGCTCTCAACAACCGCCGTTCACGTCAACGTTCACGTGAGATCACGGTACGAGCTCAGCAACGTATTTCGCTACCGGCAGAAACGACACAAGTTTTGTCATTGCAGTGATGTCAAACGCGCGCTCCCGCGGCGTTAGCAGTTTCACAAGCCTCACAGCGGCTCTGCCCCTTTTATCCTCGAAGAAGGTTTTCTGAATTAATACTGCAGCTCGTGGAATCATTCTGAAGTTCACATGACTTGCAGCCAAGAATGAACGTGTTTTATGCAGACCGAGTCAGTGGTAGTCTCGTTTCACCGATGCCACGCACGGCTTCCTGACCGCTCCAGTGCCAACGCGCGCTCCCGCGGCGTCAGCAGCTCCCCAAGCCTCACAGCGGCTTAGCTCATACATCCTCAAAGAAGGGGTTTTTGTCTGAATTAATATTGCAGCTCGTGGAATCATTCAAAGCTCACGTGATTCGCAGCAAACAATGAACGTGTTTCTGCAGACCGAGCCAGTGGTAACCCAGTGCCAACGCGCGCCCCGCAGCAATCCTGGTGTAAGCGTCGCATGAGGACGCACACACACAACCCTTCAGGGTGCGTCAGCTCATATGTGAACCCGCTCTCGAGCGTTACACGGTGCAGCTGCACACAGCATAAACAAAGCTGTTTTTTCCCGCAGCAACACACAATGTCTTGCGCTCTCACTCAGCGCGCTCCAGTTCACATCAGCATGTATGTGAGTTTCACTGCATAAATGCGTACTCGCTTTATAACTTATAAACGGGTGGCAATGAACGCGCGTTTCCAGAGGGATGGGCGAACCGTTTTCATCCGGGACTCACGCTGCAGTTCAGCTAAAACCCCGATGTGGGGGAACCCTGTGACGTGTTTTTCTGTCATTTATGAACAGATCTCGTCCCCTCTAGCAGAAGCTCTGGAAATTCTGTTTTAAATGTAATTTCTAGAGCCTCAGATGGAGAGGAAACACCAGTTCTCTCTTATCACTTCCTGGTCCAAACGAACTGGAAAGATGAGATTTATTTTAGATTGCTAATTTTCTGAGCTGTGAGAAACAACACTCCATTTTAATTCTGCATTATCTGGACACCTGTGGCTGCTGAGCAGCTTGTTCAGACAGGTGGCAGCAGTGCAATTCACGTGAATGGTTGAGTGATATCAGCTGTTTTCCGTCAGCAGACCTACGTCACACACATTTAACAAGCTGTGGGGGCGCTGTGCTCCACACAGCAGCTGTTTTAAATGTTTTTTGGAGTGTCACACGGGATCCTTGAATGTGACTCAATACTGACCTTGAGCTGCAGAATCATCAGGGGTTTTGATTCTCAGACAACAAGTGTCTGTCGCATACATACTAGCAGGAAATGTATGCATTTTTTCAACCCATGTGCCACATTGTGAGACAGATGCTGTGTGGGGCACACCCAATCCGCTCTCCATTTGGAGTGGGTACATCGCATGTATCCCACC